CCGGGAGACGTTGTCAGAGAAAGTAAGTGAGCCTCTTGGAGAGCCCCTCCCCGTCGGCGAGCTGTGCAGGGTAGGCACAGGCCCCTTCGGCTGCAGCCTGAGCATGGGGAGCCACCGCGGTGGTGAAGACACTCATGTCCCAGCTCCCAGCCTGATTTTCAGATCGGTTCATGCAGGTCATTTCTGACTCTCCTGGGGCCCTTGGTGCTCTCCCGCCTCTTCCCCCTCCCCAGGACATCACTTCCTTTCTTGTGGGACCTCTTAGCTGCCCACAGCCCTGGATGTGCACTTCTCACCTCCCAACCTGACCCAGGGGCCCTGGGAATCAGAGATCAAGGCTTCTATTTGGACAGTCTGCAGTGCTGGCCTGGCATCTTGCACTATGTGAACACATCGGTCCTGTAACTACTTAGCTCAGGACGTTCCAAGGAGTTAGTTTGAGACTCATGGCCAAGCTCTGATCCACTAGCTGAGTATTTACTATTATTAACTATTCCATTACTGTTATTGCCTCTTTGTTGTTTTGAACTGTCATATCCAATATCGCCTTTCTGCTGATACTAGCAATAGCAGCGTTTGTCAAATACTTAAGTAAATTGCCAGGTACTTGGCCTAGTATTTGACGTCTCCCAGTGCACCCTGAGCATTGAGGGTGTTATTATCATTGTTGTTATCCATATTTTTCAAATGAGGAAAGCAACATTGTGTTATGCTGTTTACAGTTGACAAAACAGATTTGAACCCAAAGTTTTCTGACGCTACACGTTTGCTTAGCAGTACTGCTGCTTAAAATAAGCAGAACATCTCACACAGACAGGACTCATTTTCAGCTGCCATGTGAACCCATAAACTGTGTCACACAGTGAGCTGTCACAGAGGGAATTGCATGTACCCCCAGGCACAATGTGGGATTTGGAACTGTGTTTCTAAGAACCCACCAGCAGAGAAATCACGGGTAGGACGAACATTCTAAAATAAAACCAGAAGTCAGTAATAAATGGACCCCTGCCCACTGAGAGGACTAGCCGTCAGAAGGCTGTGTTGAGGATCCAGTGTGGCGTGGGGGCTGTGTGTGTTTCTGGGTTTCTCCCAGAGTCTGAACTAACTGGGTGCTGATGGCCTCAGCCTGAGTGGGCCTGGGGTGCTGACTTTCTGTCCTTCCATCCAAACAGGTTGGTAAAATGCTCGCTCCCAAAGGCTGCAGGGCTGAGGTGGCTTTGAGCTTGGCCTTAGTAGTGCCCGGGTTCTGGCCGCTGTTAAGAGCTGGGTCAGGTTGTTCTTCACTACCTTGTTTATTCTAATGCTTTCACATGTGTCTGGTGCAGATGTTTAGTAGTTTCAGCAGAGGGATGGGTTTGAACGCTCTTAGTTCTTCATACTGAGAATCGAAGTTATTAAAATTTGAGGAGATATTTTGAGAAAGATATTTTGAAGGCCCATCTTCTCCTTCTCTTTTCCTACTGATGTCTGAAGTCGCCTCCTTTTCTGACACCCCCACGCCTGCCCCTGGATCATCAGGGATTATTTTCCTGACCTGGCCTCATGGTTTCCTCAGGATAGGATCACTCACTTCAAAGGCGGCCACCGTGGCTCTGATTTTAGTCTGAAAATTCTTCTTTAAAAAAAAAATAAGATTGAGGAGAGCCTGGGAGGGGACGAGCAGGTGGGATATCCCTGATGTGCAGCTGTGGAAGAGAGCTGGGTGACGATGCTCTGGGGGGTGTGTGTGGGGTGGCCTAGCAGTTAGCGACAGGCCTGGAGTCAGGCAGCTGCACCTGTGGGGTGGTGCTGAGCATGACAGGGTCTCAGGTGCACAGCTGGGCATTCTCAGGACAGAGTCAGTCTCCTCTCTGCATCTCCTCAGGCCACACTAGGGGGTCTTGATGGAGATGTGGCAGAAGGCTGGGGGAGTGCAGATGTTCACTACATCAAGTTCAGGATGGTGGACAGTAGAGATGGCCACTACATCAAGTTCAGGGTGATGGCCAGTGCAGATGGCCAGTATGTCAAGTTCAAGGTGGTGGGCAGTGCAGGCGCCCATGATGTCATGTCCAAGGCAGTTTCCAGTGCAGATCTTGACCACATCGAGCTGTGAGGTGGGTGGCATTGAAGGGCTTGTCTCAGCTGTGGAAGTCACCTTGGGGAGCTCTGGTCTTGTGGGAGAGAACGGGAATCTGGCTGTCGCTATGACTAAGGAGCAGCTGTGGTGTCAGGGCCCACCTGCATTCTAGATGTTGTTCTGTAATGACGTACCGGGCTGGTTACTTACTGGTCTACTTCATCTCTCTATATCCACACTCTTTGCCAGGCATTTCTCAGTTCCCTTCTTAACAGATGAAGGCCCCTTGACTTTGGGCTGGTCCATGGGCTTGTTTAGGCCAATAGAATGAGGAGAAGTGACCGTGTGCCAGTGTTGAGCCGAGGGCTTAAAAGGTGTTGCTTGTTTCCAAATGTACGCACTTAGGTCACTGGCCCAAGGAGGCTGAGTAGGGAGTGGAATAGATGTGGACCCAGCCTGTAGATTACAGCCATTGCACTGAGCCCAGCTGATCCACAAGACACTTGAGAAAGAAATTCTTGTTGTGTGCCTTTAAGAGTTTTTAATGGTTTGTTACACAGCAATAGCTGACTACTACAACAGAGATAAAGAATACCCTTGATTGTTTAGTGTTTCACCAATTGGATATTCCATTATTTAATCATCCAGTGATGGACATTTCTGTTGTTTCCAATCTTTTGCTACTCTAAACAGTGTTGTAGAGAAATTAGCATATGCCATGCCGTTTACCATGTATAGCTTGCAGAATGATTTCCTACTTGGCAATTGCTGGACCCATTTCTGGCCTCTGCTTTCCTTTTCCCAGCCAGATGGAAGGGTGTTTCTCACAGATGTCCTGTGGTTTAAGCCTCTGCTTGTACATCCTTTCTCTAGGGACTTGGACCAGTGGCTGAGCAGGTGGTTGAGAGGACAGCTTTTGGGATCGGGTTCTATGCTTCTTGGCTGTGAGACTCGGGATAAGTTATTGACTTTGCTATGGCTCAGTTTCTGCCTCTGTAAAGTGGAGATAACATCTTCTTTAGTGGCATCCTGTGAAGATTATACGGTGTCTGCCGAGTGTAGCACATATAGGACACACTAAGATCTTAGCAAAGTTTGCTGATTTGATTGCTATCTTGGGATTTTTTTTTTTTTTGTATTCCTTGGAAGAGAGTTCAGAAAAGTTTTATAAAATATCAAATTGTAAATATGTTATTGGTTAAGAGGCAAAATTGAGGACATTATGTAAGAACTTATATAACCACCTAAAATGTAACCCTTAAAAATATAAAATTCATTCTTATGGGTCATGCAAAATCTGCTGGTGGTAGACCCTATCTGGCTCTCCTGAGGATGTGGTTTGCTAGCCCTGCCTCAGAATGAGTGTTTGGCAAGTGCTGCCTCCAGAGAACCCCCCTGGCACATCTCTCTTTCACACTCCTGTGCCTTTTTCTCATTGTCTCATAGTGATTCCTATGCGTGGCTCTTTGATTCTGAGAGAGTATGAATGCTCAAGTGCAGGGCTCCTACAGACCTGTCATGGGGTGCACTCACTATTGGTAGTAGCACTTGGACAGAATGGCACACCTGTTTATTGGGCACATGCAGTGTGCCAGAACTAACACTTCAGTGTTCAGGACAAAGACTTGGGTGTTTGTTCCAGATGGGGGTTCAGGAGACAGAACCCCATGTGTCTTGGTAGCACACATGGGAGGCACAAGAAGACTTTGTGCTCTAGGGAGTCTGGGTGTTTGAAAGTGAGTTTTGGGGAAGTGATTAAGTCATGAAGGGCAAGTCCTCATGAGTGGAATTAGTGCCTCTTTTAAAAGAGATTCCCCCAAACGCCCTAGCTCCTTCCACCAGTGTGGCTGCAGGGATAAAATGGCTGTTGCATGTCAATCAGAAAGCAGGCCTTTCCTGGGCATGGAATCTGCTGGTGGCTTGAACTTGAACTTTTCAGCCTCCGTAACTGTGAGAAGCAAATTTCTGTTGCTTATAAGCCACACAATCTGTGGTATGCAGGTAGAGCAGCTTGAGTGGAACAAGAGAGTGCTCCAACAGGAAGATGATGCTCTACAGTGCTGCCTCTGTCTGTTGGATACCAAGTGTCCACTTACATATGAGTGATTTAAGGCTCATTTCTCCATGTATCACTCCTTCATTTTTCTACCCGTGCATGAAACACTCCAATCTCTACATTACTCTAACAGATCTTTGTATCTGGTAGTTTTCCTCTTCCTCCTCCCTCCTCCTCCTTCTCCTCTTCTTCTTCTTCTCCCCTCTCTTCCTTCTTTCTATTCTTCTTCCCCTCCTCCCCTTCTTTTAGTTATTCTTGACCCACTGTGTGCACATGTATGTAGAACCACACAAACATACGTCTATGTCATCTAGTCAAATCCTAGAAAAACTCTTAGAATTTTGGTTAAATTCTCATTAATTTCACAAATCAATTTGGGAACATTTATAACATTGAATCTTCTAATCCATGAACATGGTATAGCTCATCAGTTGTTATATCTTCTTTCCTATTGCTCATATTTTTTTTTCTATAGGTCATGTGCATTTTTAATAGATTTATTCCTAGATACTTGCTGTAGTGTGATGCTTTTAATTTTAACTTTCCAACTCTTTATTGCTAGGATACAGACATATAGTTGATTTTTGTATGTTGATTTTATATCCAGCAACCTTACTAAACTGTTACTATTTATAAAAATACATTATTTTGGATTTAAGTGCAAAATTATAAGATGCTAAATAATGACAATTTTGGTTTTTCTTTCCATTTCTCAGATCTTTTATTTATTTTTCTTTGCTGCATTGGTCAAGATCCCACTTTAGAAAGAATAGCTTTTTCCTTTTGGATTAATTTCTGCCTTTAAATATTTAGTTTTCTTCACATGTGTCCTTATTTTAAATATTTAAAAACCTATAACATATTTTCATTTCTTAACTTTATCATATCTTTTTTTTTTTTTTTGGTT